AGGATGTGAAGATGTTTTCTACTAGCTCCACATCGTTGAGCATCAGGGCCAGGCGCAGGGCCTCTGGATAACGGTTGAACTTTCTGAAGATGTTCAGGGCACATCTCAGCAGTGCTGAGTTTTCTGGCTCAGGGACGTAGCTCACGCAGCTGGAGGAGCGATGCAGAGAGTTAAGAGATGAAATGGTATACAACATGCTAAATAACAGGGTTTGTGTTTTCTGAGCAAAGTGTAAAACCGTAACATACCTAGTGAGGTACAGGCAGACTTTGCCGTAGGCGTTTTCGTCTATGTAGTCCTCCAGCATGTCCAGTCTCTCAATCTCCATCAGCAGGTCGCATGCCTCATGCTCGGCATTGTGGGCCATGTTGTAGGGCACAATCTCCTTCACTAGTTTCAGCAGCGTCTCCTGCTGTGTCTTGTCGCTCTCTTCCACCTCCTGCCACTCTTTAGCCACCTCACCAGCCAGGTGCCTGGAAGACAAACAGAAAGGTACTGCAGATACAGTAGAATGGTCCAAAGACGTTCACACTTCAATCAAAAGGAAAAACCCCACCTCTGCCCTGTTTTTGAAAAAAGTGCTTTCTCTGCAACATCGGTCATTATTTCTTTATTCCATACTCGACAAACAATATGTCTTAAGGCAACACTAGAGTTGTTCCGATTCCGAGAAAATGCCCTGGCATCACGGCCTCATGCGGTGCGTACCCCTGAGTCCAGGCACTGCTCCCGACTACCAGCGTCACATTCCTACTCTAGCCCATTCACCACGCTAATCCTCTTTACTCGGTTACCCGGGCCTCCGTTAAGCTCCTCGGCTACAGTTCTTCTTCGCCGCTCTTAAAACAGTGCGCTGTGGCTGCAACCCTGCAGCCTGCTGTTTTAGAAGGGACGAGGAGGAATCGAATCAGCGTGACCCAGCAGACACAACCAGACCACACACCGTGTGTCCCAGAGCCGGCTTGACAGGCGAGGCTTGGAGCCCTTAAGCTAAGTCACCGCAAGCTATCCATGGTCGGGCGGTGCTGACCACCATCACTTCTCACACTGGACCATCCCTCCACCAGTCAACACCACTGCGACCCATGTAAACCCCGTGTCTCAACACGATAAAACATCTCCAAGGGGCAACGAGTGTCTCGCATAATTTTAACCCAAGCCAATTTAATGAAACACCTGAAAGAGCGCGTCACCCTAAAAGAGTCCACGACGAATTTTTCACAACCTAACCACAAAAGGGGAAACAAAGAAGGACACAGACCGCAGCCACAAACCACCTCCTGGAACAGCCTGCTTCCAGCGACGAGAAAAATTCCCCCAGAGACACGCCCCAATAAGCAAACAAGATAAGCAGACAAAATCCCTGCGACCATCCTTATCTCGTCCTGGATGAACCCCAAAAACCCCTTGCCCCTGGCCTGCACTTTAATTCTTAAATAACACTATATAACTTCCCCTAGATTTAACGTTGCTGTTGCACTCACTGTTTTTTATACTGTTTTACTTTAAAAACAAACTTTAAAAAAAATAAATGTGCTTGAATTTGCTGTATTTATTCATGCGTTTTCCCAAGCGAAGGGTTCAAAACAAACCTGAAGCCAGGCCTTAAACCAACAAAATGAATAAAATCATAATCACCCAGTCCATGCACGGAGTAGTATGAAATAATTAATAAATTTTATAAACAATAGCTGGTATCCACAAGGATCGGTACCTAAACGGTACAAATCGCAAAACACAAAAACCACGGACGATACCCACAGCACAAGTATCGGAAGGGAAAAAATGGTATCGGAACATCTCTAGGCCACACTGCACTCAAACAGTCAGTGAGTTTTCATCTCTAAAAGGCTTCTTTCATTTTTCTTTCTGAAAAGCTGAAACATAATTCCTGGACATCAACTATGTAAAGGCTGCAAGAATCGGAACACCATCATTTTTAATAAAAGTAGAGGACTAAATAATTTGATAGCAATCAACAGCACCCATTTCTATTGTACAGGCCGATCTGTCTACTAACTTGACAGTGAACCAAATCACATAAAAAAATAAATATTTCCTCCATTTACAATGCAGCTTGAATAACATGAATAAGCTGACGATGCGGAGCCGTGTCTTACCTGACGTATTCATGTCCCCAGGAGGCCAGCTCTTCCTGGGAGCCCAGCAGACGGTACTTCAGACACTCCCTCTCGCCGCTCATGGTCATGGCCAGCACTGACACCACATCAGCACAGAAACGCTGCCAATACAAACAATACACAGTTTGAACTTGAAATCTTTAGACAAGGCTAGAGCTGCAACCATTAGACAATTAATCAACATTAATCAGCAATTATTTTGATAATCGCTTCATAATTTAGCTACACAAATGTGAGGATTTGTAGCTTTTCGGTCTGGTAATAAGTCGAACACACATTAGAAGAAAACACTGAGGTCTAGAAAATGATGATGTTTAATTTTACAGATGTAGTATTACAAACCAAATAACTAATCGATTAATCAAGAAAATAACTGACAGACTAATTGATTTTGATTATAATCATTAGTCGCAGCAGTAGATATGGTTTCATTGTAAGTCTTGACACTTTTGTCAAAAGTGACAGATTTAAAATTTTCTGGTAGATAATACAGAATAATACAAAGGCAAACAGTCAATACATTTCTGATTATAATACGACATTTTGCGATAAACGATATTGAATAAGAGCAAAAATAGCAGCAATGTATAGGTTCTACTTCTTGTATCTGCACTGGCTTTTAAAACATATATTTGTTTGATAGTTTGGAGGCAGTGCCATTTTTCTTATGGTGATTCTGTGGAAAAGAAAGAGATGCACCGAGGCATGAATTTCCTATTTTCTGGCGAGACAATAGAGCCTTACCTTGTTCTCTCCAGGAGCCATGCCATCATAGATTTCTTTGAGCTTGCCGTAGTGTGGGCGCAGGAATTTGAGGGGCTTGGGTACTGAGGTCATGGAGGTGGTTGAGGAGCGGATTAGTCTGCGCAGTTCTTCCAGCGCAGGACGGTACAACTCTGTGTTCTTCTCCTGCCGATGTGTAGAAACATGTGAGGTTTTGCCCTGTGGTGGCTTAAACACCCTGACACACAGGAATTGTTGTAAAATGAAAAAAGACATACAATAAAATAAGTCTTTTACTTACACCCAATCTCTCCACCATCATCTCCAGGTCCTCCTGTAACTGCTTATCTTCCTCTGACTGAGAAGTAGTGAACACAGAGAATACCATTACACGTTATAATAATCTAAACCTAAAACAAAACACAGAAAACAAGGGTTTGACACGACTGTCTTGTCCGAAAATGGAGAGGGGTGACCAACATTTTGCCATTAATAAAGTTATGATGGCCATAATAACCTTTGTTTACTTAAGCTGCCCTTATGAAACTATTCATCAACTACCTGACTACTGCTGCCCAGGACTGTGATGTTGTGAAGTACCCATGGGGACAAACTAAGCTGAAGAATGAACTTGGTGACCTATGACCTTGCAGATACCAAGCATTGTTTGCTGTTACATAATTACGATGTACAATTTGAACCCGTCAACACTTATACAATACTTAACAACAAAAGTGTTGTACTATATTTGTATCTACCAGCATCTTTGGCACATATCATGTAAAAGTCCTCTTATATATTTCTAAAATAGCTGAACAAACAGTAAAAGCTACAGTAAATGATGGTTTATTGATTCAGTGTTATGGCCCTAAAGCAACATTTGGTACCAGCTAACTTCACATAAACCCATGAGGGTGAACTTAGGCTGTACTTCTGTGCATTGTGATGATGACATATTAACTACTTCTAAAGGCATAAACAAAACAGCAATACATTTCCAATTTTCTAGTGAATTTCACATTGCTATCCACTACCTAACCAGACTGATCCGGTCGATCCAGAATAAATGGTATAATGTGGTGATAATGAGTGTACTGCACTTCCAGTGAGCTGCTGTGTCATACAGTAACGTTATCCAGAGGTAAACCTGGTTAGCTGACCGTGCTAGAGAGAAGCTAACGTTAGCTTAACGGCTGAGTTAGGCTAGGCTAACGTGAGCTAACTGGACGAGTTCACCTCTGAGACCTTTAATGACCACGAAGTTCACTCAAATAAAAGCGAGGGTGCTTTATTTAAGGGATTCTTTTAAAGTAACCGAGCGTCTGTAAGCTATCTATCATTAGTGGCACTGACTCCGGCCTGCTCAACCATGTTGTCACAGCGGCAGTGACTAAGGCAAAATAACACGTCTGGCTTCTGTAACATCAGATAGCACACATTTGAATGAGAAAAAGGCCCAAACCGACCAGTTCTTGCTCCTCTTTCTTGTCCTTATCCTTCCCTGAGAGCTGTTTCCCCTTCTCCTTGTCCTTATCCTTCTCATCAGTCTTTTCGGGCTGCTTTTTCTCTTTGTTTTTTGCCTCCTCCATAGTTGCGGCTCTGTGAACTGTCGGCTAACAAACGGAACTGAGAGGGACTGCCGTGAGCGGACCGCTTCTTCTTCTTCTGTGTGGGAAACGTGCTGTGAGCTCTCGTTAGCGCCCCTGCTGGTTGGACATTTCATGTGCTTGTTTGGGAGTACTTCAAGTCCGGCAGAACACGGCGACTGAGTGACAACTTTGTGGTTAAAAGAGGAAAGCCCGCAGGAAAACTACAATTTTGAGTTGCTATTTTATTTTATACACATCCACAATACATCTGATGCCATATATAAGTAGCGGCACATGCACACATTCAATAAAATGTGTGTTTTCTCAGTTTTTAAGCATTTTTTTAAATGTTTCTAAGCATTTCGATTAAATACATACTAATATTTCGATTAAATACATACTAATAATAGCATTTATCGTGGGGAGAATGTCCTGCAAGTGCTACAGGGGAATGAGGAAATGAGTGTGAGCTCATATCTCCCATGTTTTGCGAGTCATTGAAAGCAGCAGAAGAACTTGACGGTCATATGACCAAATGGAAGTCTAAATCACATGCCCCCGACTGTTTCCCCGTTATATCAACATGGCTATTCAAAGCTGTAGGTTGCTTCTCGCCTTCTTTCTCCTGTTTTCCCTCGTTGTTGTCGGAGAGGGACAGTATAAGGGGTTCAGGAAGTTTAATGGAGTGCATGATAACAGCCAGAAAGCTGTGTTTGAGGAACAGTGGTTCACTCAGAAACTGGATCACTTCAATGGTGCAGACAGCAGAGAGTGGAAGCAAGTAAGTGTGCTTATGTCCAATGTGTAGTCTTATGTGTATTCTTATAAGGGCTGAAATACATTTTGATGATCAGTTCTCAAATGATCAGATTTAGCATATTAAAACTAGTTAGTATATGGTCCCATCCATCGTCAGTGTGCATCTGTCAAAAAGTGGAACTTCTTGGCTCATTTTACAGATTACAAACATACTGATGCCAACTTGAACCTTGTCTGTAGGTCTTTCCACTCTGAGTAACTCTCCCTTTTTTCCCCTCAGAGGTACTTTGTGAATGAAGCCTTCTACAAGCCAGGTGGTCCAGTGTTTCTGATGATAGGTGGAGAGGGCCCAGCCAATCCAGCCTGGATGCAGAACGGCTCCTGGCTCACCTATGCTGAGAAACTAGGAGCACTTTGCTTGATGCTGGAACATCGCTTCTATGGAAAGAGTCATCCGACTGCGTATGTTTAACCTTACTGAGTTAACCCTTGACCCTGTGTGAAGGTGTTTACTCAAAGCCTGTTTAGATCAGTTTATTCAAACTCTGGAGGGTAGAGGCAGGTGATAACAAGGCCAGATAAAGGAGAAGTGCAGTTTGGTTTTTTGCAAATGAATTCAAAGGCTCCAGCAGGAAATTAGCCTAAATGCAAAGTTATATGGGTAGAGTGAGACGTGCTTTAAAAACTTGTTACATTTAAAAAGTATTTAAGTATTATTAACTAGTGTTGTCACCACACCAGACAAAGCCAATTGTGGCAGTACAAAAACATTTTTGATTTTAGTATGGCCGTTTGACTCTGTGGAACATTTGTTTATCACTGATTCATATCTATTTTGGGTCACGTTCTGTAGCTGGTTTCCTGGTTTGGTCTCATGTCTCTATTCAGTAGAAACAGATACTGCAAAAAAAGGCTCTTGAGCAAGATGTTGAACCAGTTCTTTTGCTGCTGTTTTATTTCCAGAGCTGCATGGATTAGGTACAATATTTGGAGAAGCATTTGAGTCAGTACAAAAGGCAGATAAATTAAATCTGTTATAATTAGAGAAAGTACAGTATAAGTAAAATAATGAATCTTGATAATGAATGCTGCTCATCCAGTACTTTCAAAAAGTTGTTTTTCAGACAACAGCTGATTTTCTTCACCTCAGTGGTTTGATTAGTCACACTGTAGTGTTGTCCTACTGTAAAATGAACAAATAGCTTCCCAGTGGGGATTGGGGAAGTATCACTTTATAGTATGACCCGTGCAAAAGGGCAGACATCACCCTCAACACGAGTTCACAGCAATTTGAGAACATTCAACTCTGGTTGCACAATACTGTGGCCTCAACAAAAGGACAAAAATCCACTGAGGCACAACTTCATGTGTTTGGTGTGTGCAGCAACTGATGCTGGTGCAGCTGTTGTACCACTAGATGGCAGCCCTGCATTCAAAGGACAGTCCTGGCCATATATTGTGCAGACTGAATGGTTGGATACACTGTAGGCACTCACTCAAACTGCTATATTAATTCCCTCTCCTGTCTGTTTAGTGACCTCAGCACAGACAACCTGCATTACCTCAGTAGTCGCCAGGCGCTGGCTGACCTGGCACACTTCCGCACCATGATGGCGGAGGCCCGGGGGCTGACCAACAGGAAGTGGGTGGCGTTCGGCGGGTCGTACCCAGGTTCTCTCGCGGCTTGGTTCAGGCTGAAGTATCCTCACCTGGTCCATGCCTCTGTGGCCACAAGTGCACCTGTTTATGCCACTGTTAACTTCCCAGGTATGAAGAGGCATTGTGTGACATGATAACACATACACACACACACGCGCA